CTTATCTTTTTTTTTTTACTAATTTTTTTTATTTTTTTTAAGCCCCCCATCTTCTCTATCACGAACAGTTATGGCAGCCTTGACTTTCCCTATTTTTGGCCCTTCTTTCTTTGCTGCCCAATCCTTTCTTATATTTTCCACGTCCTTTTCTCACTTTTCACTCTATTTCAGTTCACTCTTCTTTTATCGCTTTCTTCCTTTTCTGTTTCAGCCTTAAAATTCGAATTTATATTGAGAGATAGAGGTGCAGCCATGTGCATCTAGCTCTCACCCCAAAAGGGCAGAGTAATATATATATATATATATATATATATATATATATATTTTGACTACCCACTTATCAAGAATTAAGTAATCATGTTATCCAGTGTCCTTTTCTACCAAGTGTCGGTCTCTGATTATCACACTTTCTAATCTCAAAAAATTAATTCGGTAATTTTACTTAAAAAATTCATGCTATCCCATTATTAATCATGCATAAATATGGATTAGCACCTAACCAATTACAGGTTAAGAATAAATTAGATGCAACCTATGATGAGTTAGTCATGATTAGAGCCTACTAGTCTCGTGATTCATTTTTCAAATGCTAACATATATCAACTTATGTCATGTAGGGAAGATGACACTGTTCATGATGTCATGTGTATTCAGGTCATTTATTGATTCGCTAGATTCTCATGTATATTTTATTCATTCCTTGTTTATCTACACATGGTGGACGAGGTTTCCTTAGTATGCTAACTTTAGAATTCTCTGTTAGCATTATGTATAATTTCATAGCATCTGATAATAAAATACTTTGGACATGCTTGTGGTCTAAGCCAATTATTGTAGAGCTCTAAGACAGTGAGTTATAATTGGGTCATTAGTATAATAGTAGCCAAGAAAACTAGCCTTTGTGTATGTGTTGTCATGTTTGTAGGATCAGCTTGTTTAGATAGCTACTAGATATTGTTTAAAGGATACTACAGAAAGTTGGAAGATATGGAAGTTATAGGATATATGATTTCTGATCTCCTAAATGGTTGATGCACTTTGTCATAGAATTTCTAAATGCACATACACACACAATGTAAATTAGTAAAGATGCACTTATTTCCCTTTTGTTATAACCATGACTTAAATAATTTGAATCACAATGTAAATTTCATTGCTGGTTTTGACTTTTTCCTTATTTTGGTTAATTCCCTTCTAGGATGAAGGGGATGGAGGACCAGAACCTGAAGGTGAAGATGAAGTTGAAGGTGAAGTTGAAGGGCAAGGAGAGGTCGAAATTGAGAGCGAGGGTGAACCACAAGATGTTGATGTTGAGCAAGTTGAGAGTGAGGGTGAGAAATCTCAGGAAGTTGAAATGGGCAATCAAAGGGAAGAAAGTGAAGAGAGGTATTTGGAGAGTGATGATGAGGGATATGGTCAACGAGTTGTAACAAGTAGAAGACGAAATACAATTGACAGTGGGTCTGAAAGATCAGGGGAGAATTATTATGCTGCTAGCAAGGATGAGGAAGTGAATCAGGCCAGAAGGTCTAGGTATATTGTTCAGTCTCTCGTCCTTTTCATGACTCTTCATACCTGTTCGTGTGTGTATAATGTGATAGTGGTATAGCATAGAAATTGACACAATAGCTTCTTCATCCCCTCCTTCTAACATAATAAATCCCTATTAATGCACTACCACTGCACATTTACTGCATATTGATTCGTGTTTCTTCTTCCCGTTGTATCCTTCTCTACTTGGTCTTATGATGCTATCCTACTTACTGATACACAAGTGTTATGTTTCGTGCTTAAATGCATGGATAGTGTACAGGAGAAGGTTGGTTATATATATTGATGCAAAATGTCCTATTTCCACTTTGGAATGATATATGGTAGGAAAATTGTGAAGGTCTGTGGAAAGATTAATGCTATGAAGGAAAACAGTCCAAGAAGCAAACCTATGCGGTTTCTTTTTTTTTTTCTGAAGTTCTGCATCTTAGTTTTCCCAGAGCTAATCATGGTCATTTTCCAACTTTAAATATCCGGCCCTTTAAAAAGCTGTACCTTCCTCCTTTGTGTTCTTCAATTTATCCACTCTGTGAATGTGAGTCTGCATATTCGTTTTCTTCCTAAGATTTGCTTAGCGATAACAAAAAAACTCTCATGTTGACTCCTTTTTGGTGGCCAGTCACTGCCTCTCCAATGATTGAAGTCAAATGCATTAATTTTTTATAGATCGTGACGAAATCATCATTCATCAAAACTAGAATTCTGATTTGAATTCCTTTATTGCCGTATCTGTTCATTTTTATGCTGTTGGTATTGGATGCTGTAAGATGTTGATACCGAATCCTTTTAGGAGAAGTTATTTGAAAATTTTGGCTTCATAGAAGTTTTGAGAAGTTAATAAGAGATTTATTGCATGTAATATATATTTTATGTAGCCGGAAATTGTTAGAGTGGAAATCAATGACAAAAAGGTTGTAAATGAGGAAAGAGAACTTAGGTACAATGGAAAGTTGCTTTTGTCTTTCATATATTGAATGTATCCTGCAATCATTCTCTTCTAGTGTATAGTGCTACAGAATTTTCGTATCTGATCATGTCGAGTGGTCTGGACATTCTGATTCTTGCAGTAGATCACCTGGCGATGAGAAAAACGAGGATCACCTTTTATACTCAGCTCCAGAGATCCGTGATGTTTTTGGGGACTCTGACGATGAAGAACAAGAAGAGTACGCAGTTCAGAATCAGATCGAAGAAGATGAAAATGTTTGTATAAGATGTCCTAATAGTAACTAGATCATTGCTTTTAATATTTTGTGGTGCTTCTGCTGCATTTTTGATACACATCAAATGAATATATTTTCCCGAACACAGAGATCTCTTCCAGATGAAGAGGACAATTTTGAGAAAGGACTAAGGCCAGAGGATATGATTCCTGATGAAGATGCCCCATATGAGTCTGAAGAAGAGCACACTGAGGCTAGACCCAAAGAAAAGCCCGTTGGTCCTCCTCTGGAGCTAGAGATTCCTCTGCGTCATCCTCCAGCTGACCCGGACAAGGTTTATCTCCAATTTTGTAATTTACAGCCTTAAGTGTTTAGTATCCGCTATTTTCTCTGAATCTTGATCACAGTTATACCCTTATAGCCAAAAGAAAATCTTGAAATGATTGCAATCATTCACGTGTGTGTATCACCCTGTACACACTTCAAAACATGAGTTCAGTCTTGGTATTTTCGAGTTAACAGTTCAGAATAGTCTGGTGGAGCATCCCATTTTCTCTTAAAACAACCCAAAATAATTTTTGGTATAGCAGAACAATATATTGTAGCAAAGTTATATTGTTGCTTTTGAACATCACTAAAGTTATAGAGCTAGACAGGGTAGTGGATTCCACAATTTGTGCAATGTGGCAAAAACCAGGCCAATCTTCGTATTTTCCGTGATCAGATAGAGGATACAGATACAACTAAAGGAAATGATGGACATAGAAATTTTGGGGAACTTTATAGACAAAGTTCAACTCGTTAAAGAAATTTTTTTTGCACTTGCCCCTTTTTTTCTTCGTAGGAATTTTTTGAGTTCTATTACTTATGATTTGGTGTCAGTCTTCTTGTGTACTCTATCAAGATTTAATTGACAGAATGCCCACTTCCCTGTTTTTTCTTCTTAGGAATTCTTTGAGTTCTATTACTTATGATTTGGTGTCAGTCTTCTCATGTACTCTATAAAGATATAATTGACAGAATGCCAAGTTTTTCCTCATCTCTTTCCCATGTGGGTAGCCTTTCTATAAAATTGATATGAACGTGTTGCATCTGCTCTATTGATACAATGCTCAAGTCTTTGTGATGATCCGTCGAACTAAATCCTATTAAAACTTGGAGGATCACTTCAGTCTCTTTTTATATGCAATTGAATTTTCTCTGGTTCACATTAATTACAGTTTGGTTTTACTTTAATGTGAGGCTGTAATTATGTAATCCCCATTTCCTACTCTTCTACTATACTCTGAGGTTGAAGTTTTGAATTCTCCACGTCCTAGTGCTAGTTAAGAACATGAATAATACATAATCCAGAATTATAGTGATAAATGTTCTATTGCAGATGCATATGTCGAAGTTACGAATATGGATGTTGTAATCAAGGAATTATACTGATGAATGTTGTTCTATTGCAGATGCATATGATTAAAGTTTCAAATATAATGGGTATTGATCCCAAGCCATTTGATCCTAAAACATATGTGGAAGACGATGTTTATATCACTGATGAATCTGGATCAAAAAAGAGAATACGGTTAGAGAATAATATTGTTCGCTGGAGGAGGGTTAAAAATCCTGATGGCACAACATCTGTAAGTGAATCGTTTGATGTTTTATTTGTTCATTTTGAGATGTATGCACGTGCATCATCATGTAACTTTAGTTGATTTTTGTATTTCTGTTCATCATGCCTACCACTTTACTGTTTCAAATGTTTGTTTGGATGATATGCAATTGTTTGTCGTTTATTTAAAATGAAGATTGTGTAGATGGATGAGTTACAATGTCAAGCTGGGATTTGAATTTTGCATTAGCATACTTGTTTGAATGATGATCTATATAGGTTCATAAGTTGCGTTATCATTGTAGTAGTTATTTTTCCTCTTGGGAAGCATAGAAAAAATTAATTTCCAAATTGCTTAGATTAAGCCCCTGTTGATAGCAATTTTCACCCAAAAAATCAATTTTTTTGACCTTTATTTCACTATTTTAGCAATCATTTTTTATTTCTTCACTCACATGTGGGATTCACTTTTCTCTCTAACGGTAAAAAAATTAATTCTCATAATCATTACTGAACAGGTCCTAATTATTGCAACTCAAAGATTGATTGCTTTATTGCCCTCCCTCACATGACCAGTGAAGTAAATATAGGCAACTCATTCATTTGCCCTTCTATTCCC